CAGTCTGTGATTCTGTGAAAACAGTCCCTATCGTCTGGTTATCAGTTGAGGAACCGAGAGACTCGAGGGCCGTGGCGCGTTCAACCTACTTCCGTCCCCGACGCGTCATTTCTGTAACGCTATTTTTTGACACGCACCGGCATTCATCTTTACAGATTTACCCGAGAGGCGACGAGCAAGCCCCGAAACGTCAGACGCGCCGGAAATCAGACGGCAGGCGAGGCGAAGCGTGTGAGTGCAGCAGCTGATCTCAGCACGAGCCCTTCAGACAGCCCACGCCTCCCGCTTTTGTGCGTGAAGATCACGGGGCCATTTGCATACAACAAAATACCCCTTTTTGCACTTGATTTCAAAAGAACCATCAGATAAATAAGGAAAGTGGAATTTCTCTGGGGCCTTACAGCAGAACCACAATAAAAACCCCCGAATCCTTGTTGTTTTTTCTTCAGCACATCCATTCCAAGATACCTCTGAGTCCTTTAGGGCTCTTTGGAAATGAAAACAAATGGGTATTGCCAGGGTTTCGCTTTCCTTGGGAACTGGCACCAAAAATTCATAATCTAGATGGTATTGTCTACGCTAGCTTAATCCCTGACGTTACAAGTCATACAGAGCTCGGGACAGACGTACATCCCCTCCCATACGTGTTCACAAATAGCTGATTTCATCCCCCTGGGTGTAGAATAGAACTTGAGACTCAACAGGACCGAGTCAGCAGCAAAAAAATACCCTAAAAAGAACCAAAAGGAATTTGCAGATCACCTCAGCTGCACTCCTGGAGGGACTCTCACTCGTACAGAGATTTACAGAGCAAGAAAAGGAATTGCAAATGCTGTTGCACGTGAACCGAGTTGCACAACTGCCGTGGAAGTGCCTCTGCAGAAGGAATCACGGAATGGTTTGAGTGGGAAGGGACCTCAAAGCCCTCCCAGTCCCACGACCCCCTGCCACGGGCAGAGACACCTGCCACCAGACCGGGTTGCTCACATGTTGCAGGACGGGGACGAAGGAATTGAAGTTTTGGGGCTTTTTGAGAGTTAGGACCAGGAAAAGGTGAATTACTCCGAGCACACCTCCTCCAGGAAGACACTCTTTACACTCACAATACAATACAGGATATACATACGGTACGTAGAGATAATATAGACATGGAAAAAGTTATTTAAATGACCCCAACAACTCACTTCTCAGTCTCTGAACTGTTAACACTCTCATGACCGGTTTTTAACACCTCACTGTAGTAGAATCTCACAGCCATCAGCCCTGGTATTTAAAAAAAATCCAAATTTTCTCTACAAGCTTAAATTAGAGGGGCACAGAGCTCGCTGGCGTGGATTACTGGAATAATGACATAGAAACTATTGGCTCTTCCGCAAGATCACGTCTACACCAAGCTTTGAGAAACCCCTTCAGGATGGCAAATCAGTTCTCCCCCTGAACAAAAAGAGAACTAAATCAAAGTTTGGCTTAGAATGTTGTTTCTGACGAAGGGTGAGAAGCCTGACCACGGCTCCAGCCAGCCTCCCAGTCGCCTCGGCGCAGCCGTCTTCAGTACGGCGCAACACTTTGGTAACGAAGCACTGCCAGACCAGGGTGGCCTCGAATTCTTTGTGCTGAGTGACTTAGTTAAAGCTTTCTGCACCGAGACATTCAACCTATTACAAATAACTCCTTTTCCATCCTCGAGGCAGCATTAGCCGCTCTGCCTCCCAACGCCCAGGCTCTCCCGGGCAGCCCGTGCCGCGTGGGACGGGAGAGCGCGGGCGGGCTTGCGAGGCGCGACTCGGGAAGCCTCGGCTGGGCCAGGAGGGGGGGCGCCGGGTGGCGCTGGAGGAGCCGGG